TTTGAGCATTTTTACCCACAAATATAGCATACCTTAAAACTATATATCACACACACAGGTATCTGTCAGTATGTTATTTAGACTAGTTGATATTGCCATGCTTTATTTTACAATTTCATCCTTCTCATGAACAAATTTTCTAGATAAGATTTAAAATCTTAAATATTCCCAATTAATCTAACAGTTAGGATTCAAATACCACTATAGTGTGTGCATTATATATATATATATATATATATATATATATATATATTTATGATTTATGCAGTAGAATTAAAGTCTTGAACAGACTAATGACTGAGCAAAGTGAAACTCAGATAGGCACAGTAATATCCATGCTAACAGCAATTAGTTTTCATAGAGTAATTTTTTGATTACTTGGGTTTTCTTTAATTTAAACTGTTTTGCCTGAGCATGGGAAGGGTTTGGGACCAGACCGCTTAGAACCCCCCACACACACACTTCTATCTTAATTCATACCTGGAGATAAACCAGTAATCATTACAAGCAATACCTTTGTCAGAGTAAAAGTAATAAATAAAAAAATAAATAAATAAAAAAAAATGGAACTGGCTAACGTCTACATCCAGAAGAAGCAATTTATTATACTTAGGTCAGTAGCAAACACTAATGTCCTAAGTCAATCATTTCAAGTCAAGTTTTGTATTTAGCTTTATGAAGTTGTTTTATAACAATGTCAACAATTACAATTTTATTTTTCTATCAGCCAATTACCGTCATTCAGTTGGTCTTGTCCCATAAGTAGCTTTCTCTGTATTTAGGTTTTCAGCTACACCTGAAGATAATACTTTATCACAAGTTTTATTTTAGGAATAAAAATACTTTCATCTACCTTTTTCATCCAAAAAGAAAAGGTTCTCACCTACTTAAAATTCCACAAACAGAAACTTTCATCTCTTATCTAAAAGCCATTCTGTTTACCCATTTGGAAATGGCTTATTCCTCTGTATCACACAACCATTCAAAAATGATATAGCTGTTGGCTTTGTGGCAGTATTTCCCACTAATACCAGTAATCAGTGCTCAAGCCCAAGGGAGGGCTATGATTTCAAATTATCATTCCTCCCTCTCCACTGATGACAAGAAGAATCTCTTCTCATATGGCATTGTGCTGTACTCAGCTAAATTTTGTAAATATCAAATGTTGAAGGAATAATTTTCAAGGAAGAAAACTTAGGTATATAAAAATGCTAATTATAAGGGAGTTTCCTTATTTATAAATTTTCTGCATGATGTGCCAATTTCTGTATATATTAAAACTGCAAAAGTACACATTGTAGCACAGTTAATGCAATATAAAGAGAATAGTGCAATTTTTTGTCCAATTTGCAATTCACGAGTGTTGTCGGTATTTGTGCTCATCCCAAATCATCTGGTTTGACAAGGAAAAACTTCAGGTATATTAAATGCTATTTATAGAGTAATATCTGTTATTTGCAAATAATTACAATACAAAATTCTATAAATACAGATGTCCATAAAATATACAGAGCAACCTCAGTTCTTGAACGTCTCACAAATGTCAAACAAATCGGTTTTCAAACAAAAAATTTGAGATGAAAATGCCTCAGCTATCGAACAAAAATTTGGTTCTTGAACAACATTGCTGAACCGAGTTAACCAAAACAGAATCATTTCTAAGTTAACTACTGTGTTGTATATATTTGTGTGCTGTGCTTTTCCAATATGGCCCCAAAGAAAGCTAGCAGTGATACTGGTAAAGGAAAAAGAAAAGTTAAGAGAATTGTTGATGATATTGTCTCTTCCTACTGGCAAAAATCAATGATCTATACTATTCATATAAATAAAGAGACATTCATGCCTTTCCTTCCCTTTCTAAACAATAACATCTCTTTTCTTCCCCTTCCGCAATCAAGTCTCCTACTTACATGTTAAATTAAAGTGTTTGTCTATATTTTATTTCATTAGTATTGGGGTTTGTTTATTTTATTTTTTTTTTCTTAGATTTAATGATTTTCATTAGTTTTGCATATAAACTTGTGCACAAAGTACTGTTGTAAAAGTTTAAATAAGCAATCATCTTTAAACCAGGAACAAATTAATCCATTTTACATTGATCCCTATTGGAAAAATAGTTTTGGTTTACAAACACTTCAGGTTACAAATGGGCTTCAGGAATGAATTAAATTTGTGAACAAAGGTTCCACTGTGTGTGTGTATGAAAACATTTAAAAAAAAAATTTAAAAAAAATCAAAATCTATAGCATTAAAACTTTACAAAGAACCGGGATTGGGAGAAATAATGGAAAGACAAACTTCACCAACTACAAAGGGTAGGAAGTAGTGGAAGGCCATGATCGTCCACATCCCAAAGTGTTACAGAAGAACAATTAGTGAATTATTATTGAGTGCAAGATTCAACATATGCATCAGTGCATAGACCAAATCATGCAAGATTTCAAAACATCCTGGAGCATTTACTATGTTCAGCATTTCATGTGAATTAAACAGTTATCCT